CTAACATTTTGCTAGGCACTGATTTCAATTTTTGCGATCCATTTGGAGCTATCTACTGCTTACTGTTATTAAAACCTCCAGATTTTACGGTTATGTTACTAATTTAAAGTATTTACTGGGGAGCCGAAGCTATGGCTGTACTTACTAGGAAGCCGAAGTTGCCATCAGCTTGTTACTTAAGCATCTGTTGAAAGAAGAGCTAATAGCCATATTAGAGAGGGTTCGTGTCAACAAAGTGCCTCTAATTCGGATGCCTTCGCTTTCTTAAGGATTAAACTTCAGGGGAATTTTTGATTCATAAACCCATTTTACCATTTATAGTCTTTTTTTTTTTTTGGTTTTTGAAGAACATTTTTTGGACAGCAAAAACTTTTTTTCGTGCATGAGTAACTGTATAAACTGTTTTTGTTCAATGTTTTTATGCATCCCTCAAGCTGCCATCGCCAGCCTTCTCATCAATTCCCCCTTCTTCCTTTGGAATTCATTGTGCAAGCTAGTTTTTTTTTACAGAGCAGATTTGTGCTCTGAATATTGTAACTCAGAGGTGATTGTGAGGGTAGCTGAATGTTTCTCATGTTTGCTTCACATCGCTACAAGTTAAAGTTTCGAAATTGAAAAGTTGTAAGTGTCCGGGATGTTGTAAAAAATCATGCGGAAATGGATGTTGTGGAACTCGCGCGAAAAACTTTCTGAGCTAATTCTTGGCTTGCAACATCGTGCAACATTAGGAGCTAAAATTTTGCGTGGTTCAGCTTCCGAACTTTCGTTTCTCCAGAACTTTATCATTTGTGCCTATAGGAAATCGCAGAAACGAGCTTTTTAAAAAAATCTATTTTTCGCAGTACGTGAAAGTAGGCTTATCGAGTTATTTTGTTCTTACGTATTTAAATAAGCTTATTTCGCACATGACGGATGTGAGTGGCTATACTGATGATTCCCACTCTCACTCGTCTTCGATACGCTGCCTGTGTTCGTAGCTAAGAACTGAAACATGGACTACATACAGACTTCTTCTTTCACCACATTTCGAAAGTTAGTCTCTGCTGCTGATCTTGTGTATTCGTTCAGGTTTACGGAGTACCGACCGAATCATCATTTTATATTTGTCGGTTGTGTTGTTTGGCCTATGAATCAAAAACAACATATCAGATGCATATGCGAACCCACGGCACACTACATAATTGCCCACGTTGCTCAGTTGTAACATTCAGTGAGGAGCAGATAAGTAGTCATCGCAGTCAGCATGTGCCTACGCCCGAGAAGCAGCAATTGGTTTATGTCTGTTCGCGATGTCAGATCACTTACTCTTCGGTAAGTACATTTTGCTTGATGCATATTTGATCCAAAAATCTGAAGTTATCAGTCCACAGGCAGCGCAGAAGACGGTAAGTTGCTTCTTTTCAAGGCAGCTTTTTCAAATCGACAACATTAGAAAACAGATTTCACTCCAATTTCATTCTTAATTGTGTGCAGAACCATTTGGATTTGGTCCGAATAATAATACTTTGCTAAAAGCAGCCATTTTTTGCTACGAATTCTCGTGCCATTCTCTTCTTAGGGTTATTTAAAAGTAATCTAAAAATGGCTTGGTTTATCTGGCATGCGGCAGTATCATTTAGTGGCACCGGACAACGGGGCGAGGGTCGGGGAGAGGAGAAGGGGGGGGGCCATGAGGGAGGGGAGTACTTTTTCCCTCCCAGTGGATTCGAACCAAGGCTTAAGTTTTAAGAGTAATAACAGTTACCCATCGTCCGTGTACGAATGAAAAATTTTTAGAAAAAAGCAGAATCGAAGTCCACTGGAAAGGGTTGAGTTAATTGACAAAGCGAAATACTTGCCCAGATTACTGACTCTTTGAAAGTTGTCTGGGGTCGCTTTGGGCATTATTATATGAAATCCAGTTTTATTAGCAAATTCCCCCAGTTTTTATTCGATTTTTAACTATTGTCACTGACTGAGGTTTTTTTTTCAGGAAGATCGTCTCTACCACCATATGCTCAATGCACACGCACAAGTTATAATGTATTTCTGTAAAAATTGTGATTTGGGTGACACTCGAGGTCTTGTTGTCTTTGAACACATAATGCTCAATGAATGTAACTGGCAGGTATAGTTTAGCACATTGCATATTTTGCGAATTTTGATTGGAGTTGTGGGTGGTTGTCTTTGAATTTTTCAAGTTTCAACTCTTCTGAGTAAGCCGACTGTAGCATCCAGGTTGACCTTGGATGCCAAAGTGTTGATGGCTTATTAGACAGAAAGCAGGAGAGAATGAGGAAAGGAGGCAAGAGCGAGATAAGACGTTTCGGTCTATTAAGTCATATACGTCTTAACTGAACACTGCAACAGGACCTCGTCAATATGACGTCGCAGTATTTAATGAAAAAGAATAGAAAAGAGATAAAGAAAGATGTAAAGAAAAAAAGGAAAGAGCTGTAATTGTAGGATTGGGGGAGGGGAAGAGGCGAAAGTTTGGTGATGTATTTTATACATTTTGGATTAAAATGCGCCGCATGAATCTGGGATTTTGTACAAAGAAAAGTTTTACAATAGTCTCTCCTGTTGGGGACCATTTTTCAGCGCTTTTTAACGCTATTTTTGCAGAAACAAAGGCAGGTGTTGGATTGTTCAAATATGGGATTTACGGCGGCTTGTATGTTTCATTATCAGCCGGCTAGTGAATTTGAATATCAGAGGAAGGTGTACGGCGGCGAGCTGCGTATTGTTATTCCCTCCGAGTGTGTTCATCGCTCATTCCTTTTCCTGCCGAACGATTTTGTTTGCATCACTTGTCCTGTGTGTAATGCATTGGTGAGTTCATTTTTTACTTTTTTTTTTTAAATTTACAAAAACTTTTTGCGCTTTCGTAGGATTCCCCACCAGGACGAAAAGCTTAATCTTTTCGTTGCATTATCTGTTATGTGCAATAATGAATCTTCCCCTCTGTGTGGAATAGAAAAGAAATAAAAAAAAAAAAACAAGGATAGCCCTTTTTGCATATTTATGGGAGTGCAGGAGTGCTTATTGTCAAGAGTTTGTCTCTGTGTATGTAACATGTATGTGTATAAAAGTCATGTATGTGTATGTATGCCATAAACATGCACATACGCACATACATACCTGCAGACAAGCTTTTGACAATAAACCTATAAAAGTAAATGTGTTCACAATTCGTCACCCATTTTAAACTCGGCAGCCAGAAGAGCTAGGAAGCTGAAATTTTTGGAGTATTCCTTACCCCAAGTGCGGTCCTCGCATTTTAAAATCGTCATTAACGCAAGTTAGGGCCGGACGTACAGGCATTTGGAAGAGAACGTGAAAAAGTTTTGGCGGAAAAACGATTTCGGGAACCAAACAAAATGGGAAACTGAGTTTTCGCAGGGATTTTCTATGCCCTTCTGTAAACTTTCAAATTCAGCAGTACGCACCCCTACGTCACATGTACTGACACATCAAGGTAGAAGTCGAAATATCGTTAGTTAAATACCTTGACCTTATGAGAATATTTGTTGTCCATAAGCGGCACATGGGTGTAAATTGGGCTTTGACGTACTTCTGTATTGCGCGTTTGAACACGTCAATCTCTGCAATCAGTCAAGCTAGGGGAACCAAAATTTTTCGGTTAAAAGTTCAAATTTTGACTGTGCCTCCTTTACGATTAGTTGGTTTGTTTCGACAACGAATAGGTCATAGATTTGTGCCAGTGAGTCAAAACCGCCATCAGCTTGCTCTTCTGAAACAGACAACACGAGCGATTTCTGTGATCTTTTAAACGGAAATTGAAATTAGCTGGGTGTGGAAGTCCGTGACTATTTGGGATTTTCTTGGAATATAATGCATTACTTTTGTGTGCATCTCAGCACCGCTTGTATGAATGTTCTTAAATCAAATTCACTACGGTGGTTTTTTACAGATGCACTATTCACGACTGCAGGGAGAAAATGCAGCATTTACAGAGAGCCTACAGGTCAGTTTTATGTTTTTCTTGCTTTTTTTTGCATCTGTGCAGTGTAAAAAGCACATATTGTGGAACTTGTGTGTATGTATATATGTGTGTGTGTGTATGTACATATATACATACATACACATACATCATTTCGCAGGTCTCAGTTTCCAAATTTACGAATGTTATGAAGCCGAAATTTTGTCGGCTTAATCTACCACTATGGAAATGGTTCTTCAGGCATGAATTGAAAACTCACTTCCTCTTATTTTCCATGTAGGGACGGCGAAAAATATTTTGGCAGGAAAACGATTTTGGAGATCAGAAAAGCTGGCAAATTGAAATTTCGCAACCTTATTCCTTGTCTGATTGTAATCCAGTCAGTTAAAAATCAGGCCCTTAAGTAAGCGTTACAAATCGTTTACAGACATGCCAAATTTTGACTGGAATATTTTTGGCGCCATGCAATTAAGAGAGCTCGATTGAACAGCTGTGATTTTTTAATGAATATTCCCTGTCTGTATACGGCCTGAAGAAGTTAATTACAACTCCTGCATGATTTTTCTTCACAACTGTCTTTATCCCGCATTGATCCTGTCGTTAACCTTATTTAGTTCAATTTACTTCCTCCATTTTTCCATCCTCTTTCATCCTCTACTGTCTATTTTTCTTCTTCCCTTTCCAAACTTTTTTTGATTTTTCCCTGTTTTTTAATCATACTAACCCATAGTTTCGTCTTTTACTATCTTTTCCCCTCCATCTCCCCGTTTTTGTCCTTGCGTACCATTGCCTCTTCATTTACCAATACTGATTCCTTATTACTTTTTTTCAATTCAATATTTTATATTTTCTCTTCTTAACTCTTTCATATAAATATATAAATAGCCGATTTCATATATCTTTTAAACAACCACATGTTTTTATTTCTATTTTAATTATATCCAAAAATGCTCTTCCCTATGTATTTCTAAATATATTTCATTTTTATATATTCTTGATATATTCTATATGTAACATATTTTTTATGTTTTTATGTATTCATATGCATGTTTTGTGTGTTAAAATTTTACTTTGTCTATTTGTTTTTGGTATTTTGTTATGATTACTGTATTCGCATTCATATCCCTGCCTGTCTTTTAATTTCATACCTTTTACATAACTCATTCTTTCGCATTAACAGGGACATTGGCTCGCGACGTTGGATTTAAAGGAAAAGGGTGTAAATGAGGTAGAATTCTCTTTATAATTTTTTTTATAAATTTCGCGCTTTAAACAATAACTTTCTGTTTTCCCACGTATTTCCCACGTTTCTTCTCTTTTCTTCTTAAAGGTTAAAAGAAAATAATGAAAAGAAAAGGATATTAAGATAGATAAGGGGTGTATAAAAAATTTTTGTCATAGTTTTATTATAGGTAAGAAATGTTTCGGTCCATTAAGTCGTGTACATTTCTTACCGTTACCACAATTGGACCTCGTCAGTACGACGATTGTGGTAACATAATAATTCAGTAAGGTATATAAATTAGTTAAGATAAAAACATCGAATTAGAAATAAGAAGAGTAATAGTAGTGGAAAAGGGAAATAGGTGGGGAAAAAAGAATTATAAAATTATGTAAGAGAAGGAAAAGAAGAGTAAAAGAAAAGGAAAAGGGCACGAAGGAAGGTGCAGTGAAGAATGACGTGTATCTACTAATGCTAGTAAGTGAGGTACGGAAAAATGCCGGGTAGTAGATAAAATAGATCAAAGTAGAAACAAAAGATACTTTATTTCAACTATCACATACAATCACACATATATGCATAAGCATTGGCAGGTTAAAATTATATGAGAATAGTAATAAAAAATAATATTAAAAAATAATAATAATGTAATAATTAAAAACGGCAATGTATTAAGATGTAACAAATTATAATAAAATGTAGGGGAATATTGTAACATGTATTTAAAATATTATAACGTG